AGTGCCTCCTTTAGATTTGGAAGCAGGAGTGGCAACCACTTCCTAAACAACTTGCCTCCAGATACTCTATTAACTTATATATATTTCGATAGTTGTAGAGGGGCTTCAGGCCTTTTGTTCATAGAGTTGCTATGAGTTGTGCTCAACTCGACGGCAATCATCATCAACAACAACTATATGTAGAATTATTTTTTTAAGGCATCTCCAGAATCTAGAAGGAGCTCCAAAAATAATTATAAGGGGAAATAAAAGAAATCCGATTATAAACCATTTTGAAATAAAAATAATATTTGACTGCAAACCCCTTTCTTTTAATGGGTGTAATTCCTAAGCATTTAGAAAATAAAGATCAGTTTTCTGTACTTGCAGTGATCAAAGTACAGAATTAAGATGGTAGCTGTCAATGAGGAGGATTCCTTCTCTCCTCCACCTACATTTGGTGATGTCAGCATTTTTTTCATTTTTTTTTATTACATCTGTGTGTGGGGGATACAACTATAATTTAGTGGGTAGATACCAAAGGATGCTGTTCAACATCAACCACATGTAGGATACATCCTGTACTACTCCCTCCATCAATAATTATGTGCCTCCAAATGTCATAGCGTTCAAGCTGAGAAATCTTGAGTTAAAGAGAGTTATATATACCAAGAATGTCAACATTTAAACAATTAGAAAGGTAGATGGTCAGTTGCTTCACAGAGAGGTCAGTGGTGCCCTCAAGGTAAGGGACTTTAATACAATTCTAATGGCAAGCAGTTCAAATTTTTCAGCTCTCTGTAGTAGGATAGGCAATCTTCTACCATGCAATTTACTGCTAATGAAAACCCCCTGAAAGGTCAGCTGTGAGTTGGTTTCATATTGACAGCACATGACAAGAAGTTATTTTGAGAACTTCCTCAGGATAGAAAAGCATTAGAAGCAGAAGGGTAGATATTTTGGCTCACTAACTCCTTAAATTTGTATGATGCTTTTGGTTTTAGATTATTATCTTAATGTAACCCAAACTTCAGGTTTTTGAAGCATCTATTCATAAACATTATGTAACTGAAAAAAACCCTTGTTGTTGTTGCTGATATTGTTAAGTCCAGCACGACTCATAGCGACTCTATGAACAAAAGGACTGGAGTCTTTCTATAACTATGGTCATTTATCGAAGTTCACAGAGTGTCCTGTTGTTTAGGAAGTGGATAATACCACTCCTGTTGCTATTTCTGAGAGAATTGCTTTCTAAGTTGACTCACAAAATGCGACACCCATTTTCTCCCTCTTTCTTGCCACTTCCTTATCATGGATGCTGTGAAGATAAAACAAATAATCCAGAACCCAGAGGTAAAACGGTTCCTCCCTATCCTGCTTTTTCAGTTTGGACAACTCCTAAAGGAAATTGGCTTTTATTCAGCTTCTCTCAGAGGACTATGAAAGCAAAGATGCTTCTTTGTGGCTAAGAGGAGAACCTCACCCAGAGACTGTATTTCCCTGTTTCAGCTCTTACTCAGAATTTTAATCTAATTTATATCCATGTATTAACTTCCATTCTGAGTTTTCATTTAGTCATGATTGTTGAATCTGCTGTTAGCCACTACCTCAGTAGTATTTTTATTCCTTATTAGCTGGCACTTTTTAGCTTTTGTTTTGTCAAAAGAGGTCATATGCTCAATTACAAGGTTGTAAGGAATGTAGTGAGAAATGGCTGGCTGAGACTGAAAAGCACTAGAGAATTTATCAAGTTCTTAGAGCATCTCTACCCTTTCAACTTTCACTCTATTGCCTATCACTACACTTCAGAATAATTTATATCATACACTGAAAGTTGCCTTTTAATACTATGAGATTTCACAACAACATGAGATTTCATTTACCTACCTGTCTCCCTTTTGCTTAAAACATGATCAATATTCCAAATAGATCAAGTCAAATTCAGAACACTAACAGAGATGGCTGTTTAGTGTTTTAGTTGAGGGACAGTAAAAGGTGAAAGATTTAGTTGAGAGATAGACATATTGCCTGATTTCATTCTTCTTATTTTATTCCAGTCTTTACTACCTACTGGTAAATTCTCAATTGTAAATTTGACTGTATTAATATGAAGATTTTGAATCAGAAAAACTGATTTACAGCATATTTTGTAATATTTCTAAAGATTATCCACTTAAAACATTTCAAAGAGAAAAATGATCTAGTATCTTGTTTTGCTCATGTTCTTAAGACGTTGTGATGCTTGAGTTTGAAGGACAATAAGAGCTTTTGTTTTAGTTTCACTTCTCTCTGGAGGGTAACTTTTTTAACCAGCAAACACATTTAGTCTCAATTTCCAGATAGTACAGTACAGCAGTACTTCTGACAGTCTGCTCCCGCTTCTGCCTACTCTTGCAACCTTAGAAATCACTTTTCCCTGAGCAAGTAATTGGAGAATGGAAGCCTTGGCTAACAAGAAGCTATTTTCAACCCATTATACTTGCATTTTTGTTTTAGAATTCTGTAGTGAATTCTTTGGTCTAGAATTTTCAAATGCAAAACATAGATATAAATAGCTCACCTTTATCTGAGTGTCTGTTATGAGAGCACTTAAGTGAGGACTTTACTTGTGTCACCTTATTTTATCTTCATAACAACTTGGCACTGAGGCTTTGAAAAGTTAAATAACTTGTTTAAATTTATTTAGTTATTAAATGGTAATCTAGGACACAACATTTATCGTGCTCGCTTTCAATTAATTCTTTGCCAGTTGGTTATTGTTAAAGATTTCCACAGCATAACATACATCAATTTACATGTACAATTTAATGACATTGATAACATCCTTTAAGTTGTATAATCATTCTCACCCTACTTCTCTTAATTATCTTCCCTTATTTAATATAGATTCAGTGTCTCCTAAGGTTCTTCTCTAATATTTCAAGTTGCTTTGTTAATTTGATCTTATATAGGTAACTCTTTAAGAAGCACAATGCTCAAGGTAGACATTATTTACTAGTTGAGTTGAACTATGGCTTAGTTTTAAGAAAACTTCAGGATGTATTTTGGTTTAGGTTTTGAAGATTATCTCAGGGCAGTAGTTTTAGGAGTTTATCTATCCTCCATAGATTTAGAAAGTCTAGAGCCCAATGAAATGTCAAATTTTTATTCTATATATTCCTTCTTTTGATAAGAATTCTTCTGTGGAATCATTGATATGAATGTTCACTAAAGGTAGCTGGGTGTCACCCAGTTCTTTTGATCTCATTTCAAGGACACAGTTTATGAAGGAGGCGATTAGCCATACATTCATTTCCACTTCCTGTTTCTGACTCTTCTCTCGCAGTTGCTCTGGGTGAATTGAGAACAATTGTTGTGCCTGGATGACTGCTTACAAGCTTGCTTTTAAGGCATCAGAAACTATGCAGCAAACTAGGATGCAAAATGGAAACACTAAACATGTTATTAGGCTGCTTAACTAGCCTAGTCCATGAAACCATGACTCCAAACCTCCAACCAAGTAACAAAATCCAATGAGGTTTTGGATGTATCTAAGACGCATCAGAGGCAGCTGTGTTGTTTTCCTTCCTTCCTTCCTTCCTTCCTTCCTTCCTTCCTTCCTTCCTTCCTTCCTTCCTTCCTTCCTTCCCTCCCTCTCTCTCTCCTTTCTAATTGTTTTTATATATATTTTATATGTTGTTGTGATGGTGGTGTATCATCAAGTCAGAACTGACCCCTCCCTACCTGACCCTACAGGGAACTGTCAGGGATAGTATATCGCAGAAGATATTGTCCATAATTTTATTGTCCATCCTTTTCCCATGAAGTGGCTGGTGGATTCAAACCATGAGCCTCTGAGATTGCGGTGCAGCTTCTTACCACTAGGTCACCAGAGCTCCCTCCCTGTACATTTGGTAGTGTGAGTGTATGTCACACAATTTTTGCCAATTCTTTTTTTTTTTTAAAACACAGCTTATTTAAAATAATCACCTCTACCCTTAATCAATGCGATTTTTAAAAATCATCATTAATCTCTTCCCCCCCCCCTTCCTTCCACTCCTAGTAACCACTAACAAAAAAATTCTAAGTTCTGAATCACTGGTTTTTTTCCTAGATTCTCCCAGCCTGTCATAACACATGACAGCATTTTCATTTTAAATCCATGACATCAGTCAAGTTAGGACTGACTATAATTACTTTCTTACAAGTTCCCCAAAAGCAGAATTTACTCTAAGTTCATGGACCACATTTGATTTTCAAATTTCACTAAAAAGTAATTACTTGTCAAAGCACTTACAAGTATTGAGAAGATTTTCTGCCACTGGCATTTCAATATCTAAAATTTAAGAGGAAAGAAAATGTTAACATTTAGCTTTTGGAACATATTTCATTTTGTATTAATTATTATTTGTTTCTTTTGTTATGTGTGAAATATTATTTTATAGTCATACTTAGATTATTGAATCTTGACTCATTTCTGTGCTGTCCTGGAGAATTATATATTAATATTTATTTTGGGTCCTGCACAACACTGTGATATATAAAAAGTAATGATAGTCCATCATTTCCTGAGTCCAAATCACCTTCAAACTGAATGCATTTTATAAATTTTATAAGACATCACTTCAAATATTATCTCTTACTCTAGCCATGCTGCCTTGACCAGTTCTATGCATGTCTGTATCAGCTTTTCTGGGGATAACTTGACAGAACCAGAACTGTGAATTCTCACTTTCTGACAGAAGAAACCTACTGACACTCCTATTGTACCACCTATAAGTTCTGAAGTTTATGTGGCAGAGCCACTGACTAATAGAAGAGTTGGTGGATTGAAAAGCTTCCCCCTTTAGTCACCTGGGAAGACATTTCTGTAACACTGTTTATAGGCTCTAGAGGAGAGAGCAACAATTGCCTTAACAGTGATACTTTTGCTTTTTAACATTTTAAAAAGAGATTTGTAGCAGATTTTCTCAATGCAATAATAGGCTATTTGCCATCTCCCATTCTTTCTTTTGGCTTTAATCTCTTTCTAGTTTAAACTCAAACTCAAACTTAGCTTATTGAGTGGTAACCAATTCATAGCTGACCCGCTAGTGGATTTTTGAAGACTGTAAATGGACCTATTGGTGGATTCAATCTGGGGTACAGGAGCTGTCTTTGGTATAGCAGTTTAACTCCCTAGCGACTATAACACCATTATTCTCTTTACAATTTATTATTGTTATTGTTAGGTCCATCAGGGATGTGTCCTGTCTCCATACCTTTTCAAATGATATATAGAATAGATCATCTGGGAGGCTAGGCTCTATAAGGAGAAATGTGGAGTCAAAATTAGAGGAAGGTTCATTAACAACCTGCGAGATGCAGATGACACAACCTTGCTCACTCCAACTGAAAACAGTCTAAGCGCTTGCTGCAGAAGGTCAAGGATTGCAGCCTTCAATATGGATTGAAGCTCAAAATCAAGAAAACAAAGATTCTCACCACTGGGCCGTTCAGCAGCATCATGATAAATGGAAAAGAGATTGAGATTGTTAACAGATTCAGTTTGCTTGGCTCCACAATTGGCTATCTTTGTACTAGCAGTCAGAAAATCAAAAGACAAATATCACTGGGAAAAATTTGCTGTCTTGGACCTCTCCAGAATACTGAAGAGCAATGATGTCAGTCTGGAGATTAAGGTGTGCCTGATCCAGGCCATGGTCTTCGTAATTATTTGCTATTCATTAGAAAGCTGAACAATGACTAGGGATGATAGAAGAATTGATGCCTTTGAGCTGTGGTGCTGGAGAAGAGTATTGAATATACTATGGACTGCTAACAGAACAAATAGGTTCATCCTAGAGAGGGTGAAACCAAGCTGCTTCTTGGAGGCAAGGATTCTGAAGCTTTGGCATATTGCAAGGAGGGATCAGTCCTTTGAGAGGGACATCATGCTTGGAAGGGTTGAGGGACAGCGCAAGAGAGAAAGACTTTCGATAAGCTGGATTGAATCAATAATTGGGGTAATGCAGCAGGTGTGTCAAAGATGATAAGGTTGACTCAGAAAGAGCAGGGTTTAGAACTGTTGTACATAGGGTCACTATGAGTTGAAAATGACTTTATGGAACATAACAACAACAACAACTCTACTGAGTCAGAACCAATTAATAGTTGATACTAACAGTGGGTTTTCAAAGGCTATAAATTACATGGGAGTGGATTGTCTTTTTTCTCCCTGGAGCAGCTGGTGGATTCAAGCCGGGTTGGTAGCGCAGCTCTTTACCATTTCAGCTCCCTTTATAGTTTGTTATTGGTGTGTGTTTTCTAGTTGTAACTGACTTGTATCTGACCTTACAGTGAGTTTTCAGAGGCAGTTAATCATATGGGAGGAGATTGTCCATCTTGTAAGTCCAGACTGAGGATATATGCTCTAGGAAAACATCTCTCTAAATCAGTTGTGGAGGAAAGCTCTTGATTCCTTCAGCATTTGTATGCTTGATCTTCCCTGGAGGTTTCTTTGTGCTCTGGAATTCTCCATTGATAAGGAATTTTGTAGGCCCAGACACAAAACGACACAGCTAGTGACTTTTAAAAAAAAATTTTATTGTATATTGGTTTGCTTACAAAGTTCTATTCATTGTGTTTCACACTGTTCTTCATTCACAATTACTCCCGTTCATTTTTGTTGTTGTTATGTGCCATCGAGTCGTTTGTGACTCATAGTGACCCTATGTACAACAGCCCTAAACCCTGCTCTATCCTGTGCCAGTCGCATTGCCTCTGACACACCCGTCCCGATTACCCCAGTCACTGAATCAATCCATCTCATAGAGGGTCTTCCCCTCCTGTAGAGCTGTCCCTCTATACTACCAAACATGATGTCCCTCTCCAAGGACCTGTCTCTCCTTACAACATGTCCGAAGTATGTCAGATGAAGCCCCAGAATCCTTGCCTCCAAGGAGTAGCCTGTTTTAACCCTCTCTAGGATGGATCTGTTTGTTTTCTTGGCAGTCCATGGTACATTCAATACTCTTCTCCAGCACCACAGCTCAAAGGCGTCAATTCTCCTTCTATCCTCCCTAGTCATTGTCCAACTCTCTGATGCATAACAAGTGATTGCAAAAACCATGTCCTGTATCACGCGGACCTTAGTCTCCAGAGAGACACTGTTGCTCTTGAGTACTTTAGAGAGGTCCCTAACAGCAGACTTTCCCATAGCAATACGCTTTTTGATTTCCTGACTGCTGGTGCCAAGAGTGTTGACCGTGGAGCTGAGCAAACTGAAGCTGTGAAAAATATCAATCTCTTCGCCATCCATCCTGATGCTACTGATTGGTCCAGTGGTGAGAATCCCATTCATTAGGGTTATAAATTAATCACCATTGGAGTATGTCCACCAGTACCCTCTCTTTTCAGGTTCTGACCAGATCTTTTTCCCACCAAATCTTTTCCATTTCCTTTACCCCTTCTTCAAGGAAATTAGAACTGAGACACAAATGGAGATTTGTACATCACAGTTCAGGGTAGCATTATTCGTCATCATGAAAACATGGAGACAGCCTACATCCCCAACCAGAACGGAGTGATTTGAGAAAGAAATTGTGGTACACTCACACTAGGGAACACTATGCAGCACATAGGTGAAATGACTTTGAAAAATACTACATAACTTGGGAGAGACTAGAGAGCATTATGCTGAGTGAACTAACTCAGTCCCATAAGGACAAATACTCTGTAAGACCATTAATGTAAAAATTGGAGGATAACTAGTAAAACATATCCTGGAACCTAAGGGGGAAGGGGTAGGAGCAGAGGGGTGAAAGATGAACAGGGGCGAAATCACAGAGTTGGTGATTATTTCTTGGTGGTACTGATCCCCCTTTCTTCACTGCTGCTTCTGAGAGTGTTGATTGTGGATTTATGTAAAATTAAATCCTTGATAAGTTCAAAATTTTCTTCATTTATTTATCATAATATTTTTTAAGTCCAGTTGAGAGGATTTCTGTTTTCTTTATACTGAAATGCAATCTATATGGAAAGCATAATCTTCATCAATATTTCAAGTTATCATCACTTTCAGCAAGCAAGAATGTGTCATTTGCATATCACAGGCTATTTAATGAGGCTTCCCTCAATTTTGATGCTGCAATCCTCTTCACTTAGTGAATAGTTCTTTTTGGATAATTTGCTCACCATACAGGTTGGTTCAAAAAACAGTGTGGTAAAAGAATAGAGATTCTGTGATATATAGTGCATTACTTTTTTATGTCTGTTGAGTGTACTTTGCTATATGTTGTTGTTATAGTTATGTGCTGTCCAGTCGCCTGTGACTCATAGCAACCCTATGTACAACAACCCTAAACCCTACTCTATCCTGTGCCAACCTCACAGTCTCCAACACACCTACCCTGATTACCCCAGTCACTAAATCAATCCAGCTCATAGAGGATCTCCTTTCCTGTACTGCCCCTCTACGTTCCCAAGTATGACGTCCCTCTTCAAGGACTGGTCCCTCCTTGCAACATGACCAATATGACCAATATATGTCAGACAAAGCTTCAGAATCCTTGCTTCCAAGGAGCAGTCTGGTTTAACCTTCTCCAGGATGAACCTGTTCGTTTTCTTAGTAGTTCATGGTATAGTCAATACTCTTTTCCAACACCATAGCTCAAAGGCTGTGAATCAATTCTCCTTCTGTCATCCCTAGTCATTGTCCAGCTCTCTGATGCATAGCAAGTGATTCCAATATATATGAATCTATTTAAAATCAATACTCTTACTGTGGTTTCAGTTATTTGGAACCTTCTGTTATGTGTACCACATGATTTTTCACATATACATACATTCTGGATAAAAGACAATTTACTTTAGTAATATTGTTTTTTTAATGTATGCCTTTGAGTTGGAACTGATCTGTAGCTGACCCTCCAGCAAGTTTTCTGAGGCAATTAATCATATGAGAGGAG